AGGTATTCGTCACAATAATTAGAATTTCCTACCAAATATCATCAGGAATACAATGTTGTTTACATAACTTTTCGCGTTTCTGTGCTCCTGATAGCAAATCTTTGTCCAGTAATTTAGTGATACCATGAAGAAAGTCTCTTAGGATATTAAGAAATTACAGGTATTCTATCACGATATCAAAAACGTCTAGAGTTATTCGTCCCAATGACTCAAACCCCCCACCAAATTGTACCAAGCATCATGTGTCCTTTCTATATCTCCTCGTATTTCTGTGATCCTGATAGCAAATATTTTCCCAGTAGTTAGCGATTTTATGGATATATTAAAAAGTTTTAGATATTGATCAGGATCGCAGAAGCGTAGAGAGATTGATCCGAATAATTTGAATTTCCGGCCAAATTGTATCAAGCGTCAGGTGTCTTTTCCATATCTCCTCGCATTTCTGTGATCCTGATAGCAAATCTTTTCCCAGTAGTTGACGATTTTATGAAGAATGTATCTGACCATGCTAAGAAGTTTCAGATATCGTATCAGGATCGCAGAAGCGTAGAGACGTTTTTCCTAATAATTTGAATTTCCCGCCAACTTGTATCAGCAGCAGAGTCGTTTTCATATCACATCTTGATGCGGTTTTGCGAGTAAAATTCTTCCAGTAGCTTAGTGATAGAGAAAGTGTCAGCAATTTCAGATACTGTATCAGGATCGCAGAACACGAGACGAGTATATGTTCGTCAGGAGTAAAGTGACTTTCCTGATATTGAATCTTTACCCAGCGACTTTATGAAGAAAGTACTCAACGAAACATTTGGAATTTTGTATTAGGATCGCAGAAACATCGAGAGGTATTCGTCACAATAATAATTAGAATTTCCCACCAAATATCATCAGGAATACAATGTCGTTTACATAACTTTTCGCGTTTCTGTGCTCCTGATAGCAAATCTTTGTCCAGTAATTTAGTGATACCATGAAGAAAGTCTCTTAGGATATTAGGAAATTACAGGTATTGTATCACGATATCAAAAACGTCTAGAGTTATTCGTCCCAATGACTTAAACCCCCCACCAAATTGTACCAAGCGTCATGTGTCTTTTCCATATCTCCTCGCATTTCTGTGATCCTGATAGCAAATATTTGCTTGTAGTTAGCGATTTTATGGATATATTAAGAAGTTTCAGATATTGTATCAGGATCGCAGAAGCGTAGAGAGGTTGGTCCTAATAATTTGAATTTCCTGCCAACTTGTATCAGCAGCAGAGTCGTTTTCATATCACATCTTGATGCGGTTTTGCGAGTAAAATTCTTCCAGTAACTAGATAGAGAAAGTGTCAGCAATTTCAGAGATTATATCAGGATCGCAGAAGACGAGACGAGTATATGTTCGCCAGGAGTAAAGTTTCTTTCCTGATATTGAATCTACCCAGCGACTTTATGAAGAAAGTACTCAACGAAATTTCTGGCGTTTTGTATTAGGATCGCAGAAACGTCGAGAGGCATTCGTCACAAATTATTGTGAAAATTCTAATTATAGAATTTTCCATCAAAGACCAGGAACAGACTGACTTTTCCATACCCTCTCGCGTCTCTGTGATCCTGATAGCAAACTCTTACTTACGGAGACTGGCAAAATTGATAAGGTAGGATAGGATCGGGATAACGGAAACATCAAGGGTTAGAGAGGTAAGAATTTTTCCGACAATGTTATATCAAGAGTATTTTTTCATACCTCCCCGCGTTTCTGTTGTGCTTCTAAAGAATTTTACCTTTATCGTATTTGATGAAATGATAATGTAATGAAAGCTTGATACCTCTGGTAATAACATTACTATGACAATTTCTTTATTTATTTAACACAATTTTTAAGAATTTATGACCAGGCCATGCTCCATAGTATTTCTGTACAGGAAATTGGGTCATAAATAAAATACCAGTTTAATAACAACTGTTTATTCACAATTCAATACATAAAAATTTCAACGTTCGTTCCAATAGTTACATATATACACAATTTGGATAATTGAGCAATTATTTTATCCAGAGGCGAATGTGCTTCCAATCAAAGTAAACAGACTAAACAGAAGTAGGAGCACTGGTGAAAACCTTTCATGTTTTGGTAAGCTGAGAGAGATTATCCCTCTCTTTTTATCAGGTCTGTTGGATGTCGTTTAACCTAAATAATGATGTTTCCGGGCGGTGATACGGTGCAAAGTTTGAACAATCTTTTGAAACGAAACAGACAAAGCATGTTTTTCTCATTCATTTAGGCTTTTTGGATTACATATTTTAAACAAAAGAGGTCCTTAGTAACCCCTCTCTGACGTTGACGTTCCAGTTATAAGCGATTTAAAAATCTGCAAAAGCATGATCCAAATACCATAAAGGAACTCCGGACGAGCCGAAAATCTCTTTATTGCAAAAATTGCTTAAACAAATTTGCAGCGGGTTACCGCCCGGTAGCCTTATGATTTATGCGAGGTTTCCGCCATATATATTACTTTCCGAGAAAAAACCTGTGTTAGTGATGAGCAGTCTCGGCAATGTCATCGCTCCAACCGAGGTGAAAACAGCTACTGATGGCGACCTACTCTTTGTAATCTGTTTACTTTGCTTACAAAGAGCGATCGGTAATAATTGCACACTAAATTATATTTGCAGCTATACACGTGTACAAAGTATCACAAAAACGATAAACAACACTAAAAATAAATATGATATTGTTATATTCTTGGTTGCTATTTAAAATCATAGCTAAAAGATTGATTTTGAGGGTACATAATTGGAAAGCTAAAATCTTTATTTGAAATTTCTTGACTTATATGTTGAGTAAAACGTATTTGAAATTCTTCCACTAATAGAGAACTCATTTAGTATCTCTGTATTTTTTATGGAAGGTCAGACAATAAAGATCGATTGTTAGTCCAGATGTCGATAGACACATTCGATATGCGCAAGTAGGCGAGACATCTGACGATCTCCACCTACCAATGGTTTGTCAAGCTGAATTTCATCCTTATCCCATTATGTGAAGAAAGAAGAGAAAGACCCCCTACGTCTCTGGCTCATAATTGTTCGATATTCTGCGCTTTGCATAGATAGATGTCGCACCACCATCTCGGTCGACCCATCAATTAATCGGAAAATGTATTCACGGTGCCAAACAGCAATGCTTTTCTATACAGGGTGTCCCAGAAGTCGAAGACAAGCCAGAAACGAGATTATAAAAAAGTCTAAGTCGTGTACTTTTCAAATTGTGATGATATCTTAGTTCCCATTTCTACAAATTTCAATTTCTTCTTAGAGTGACGGAGAGTGTCATTCTACGTAGTGAAAGCAAGACAGATAGTATCGCCACTTTTATTAATTCATGATTGTGTAGTGATGACTGGGTACACTGTACAGGAATATGCCAACATGGTCCTCATTTATGGGGAATATAGATGCAATGCTAGTGTTGCAGCTAGGAGAGATACCCAAATGCTGCTCTCATCCCGATCACCGAGTTTTTGTGAATGTGCGTCGTTTAATCTCAGGGAGACGATTCCCAAATCAAGCTCATGGTGAAGGAGGGATTTTCTTTTCTTCGAGGACGTCGTACTGCAAGCAGTCGAACAAGACCCGAGTACGTCAAATACAAGCAAGCACGGGAGTGCCTAAAAGTACAGCCCACTGAATCTTGCGATTTGATGAGACAAGATACTCACGGTATCGTTTTAAAGTAAACATGTTGACAGAGATTCTAGATAGGAGAATCATTGTATCCTTTTCCCGGCGCACTATGAACGTTCAGTTAGAGTACATCTTGATACGGAATACACGAGCAGATGGACAGGGCGGTCTGGTAGATTTCAGGGGCGTCTGGTGGCTTAAATCCATTCGATTTTTTTTGCCTGCGAGCGGTTTACTTGAAGCCAATCGAAAATTTAGCTGTTACGGGACAAAATAACGGAAGCAGCTGAGTCTGTTAATAGCGGAAGATTCGCCCGTCTGATAACCTGATCATTTTTTAAGAAGATGCCAAGCTTGCATTGCTGCTGAAGGAACATTTTTACTGAATTTAATAAATACAGTCACGAATTAGCAAAAGTGGCGTTATTATCAGTCTTTCTGACACTACGAGAATAACACTCACTCCTTTAAGGAAAAATTGAAATTTGTAGTAACTAATTACTACAAATTAGTTACTACCGTTTCCGGCTTGACGTCGACTTCTGAATCTGTATCGACACATGCTGAAATATACATGTTTGCCGTAAGTCTCTGTAAGCGTCTCCAACCGCAGTCAGCGCTTTCGTGTTCATTACCATCTCATCAGTAAGGTGTAGGTCTTAGTCTTGTCTTCGAGACCGATGAACGAGAAGCAATCAAATGGGTATGGTCTTTTGAAACCTCGTACATTTGATAACTGTCAAAGAACAAACAATATTTTCCTCAGATCTGACTGTAGCGTAACTTGCAACACAGCAATGGCGCGAAATTTTATGTTTGAGCTTTGCATGGTGAGTTTTGTTACTCTTCTTCATCCATCGAAAAAGTTGAGATACTTTTTGGAGGGTAAATTTTGATGCTTCGTCGAAGTTTTTTTTATAGTCCCATATCAAATCTCCAAATAGACATAATATGTTAAAAGAATTGCACTACAGTATCCGCTCAAAATAAATTTTTATACAAGACTAGCAGGTCTACAATTAAAAATTTGCGAATCGTTAAAAACAATAATAATACGTATACGGCACAATCTGTGCCTTAAAAATATATACAACATCACAGATAGAAAGATTTTTGAATGAATGAATAAATCTTAACCTATTACACCTGAACAAGCTCAATTGAAGAAGGTGTTAGTGAGTCCAAATCCTAGTGCTACCTATGAGACAGTAGCACAGCTATATAGCTATATAGCTATATTTGGAACGTTTTCAAATTAGTTCTACAGGGTACCTCAATATTTCATGTACATAGATGTACCAGGTATTTTTAGACTCAAAATAAGTCGATCAGACATGATTTACTTTTCAAAACTGCTCCGTTTGTCCGCAAGAATGCGCTTTTTTGAAAAAATCTTTATTTTAAGATATTCAAAGAACCGATGGTACGACTTGGATGAAATTTGGAACACATATGTTTTGATAGACGTTCTAATATTTGATATTTACTAATAACTCTAAAGTGTTCGAGAACGGTGAAAACTAGCCCTCTCCCCCTCCATAAATTTTACCAGAATTTTTTGGCAACTTTCCCTTCGACCCTGATTTTTTTTTTCGTTTAGTAGATCTTTTTGTTTACTTCATTTGTTATCTCATTTTAAAAACAGGCCATCTCGGATAGTTTTCAGAAAAAAATGTGTTGCATCAAGAAGTTCCCAAGCGTCTTATTCATGTTTTAAGTGTACTTAGCGAATATTTTATTTAATACAGGCAATAGTGCGAATCTTTCATAAAAGGTGTTCAATCTGATCACCATTTTTGTTCCTCAGCATAACAATACGGCGCTAGAAATTTGATGTAACAAGAAAATATAGAAACCAACTCCGAAAAATATTTTATTCTCTAAAACCATGCGAAATGACCTGTTTTTATGAGACCAAAAATAAAGTCGTAAAACGGTATTTCAAATAAAAAAACCTCAATGTCGTTGGGAGAGTTCTGAAAAAAATTTACTTTATGTAGTGGTGGAGTTTTCACCCTTCCCGAACCCTTTCGGGTTTTTTGTGAAAGTCAGGTATTATGAACTCCAGCAAAACACAAGTGTTTCCTGAACATAACAATACAGTGCAAAGAATTTTAACACTTGATGTTTGTAATCAGAAGGTTTTTTAGAAAGCAGCTCCGAAAAACAACGATCTGTTTTGAAAAAAAATTAAGTAAATGAAAAAAGCTCAGAGTCGTTGGGGGAGCTGCGAAAAAGATCTGCTATGACTTATGTAGGGTTGGGGGTTGTTTTCACCCTGCAGCAGTTTCGTTTTTTTTTGTAAAAGTCAAATATTGCGACGTCCAGAAAACACATGTTTTACAAATTTCATTCAAATCGGACTATCGGTTCCAAGATATCTGAAAAAAATTGTTTCCGAACAGGAAACTTTTGATGCCCTCTAACGGACAAACGAAGCACTATTGCATAAAGGTAAATAATATTCAATAGACTTATTGTAAGTCTAAAAGTAAGTCTATGTCCACGGAATATTGAGACACGATTTATATTCATTTATATATTCTGCTGATGTCGTTAGCAGATCCCTTTTATGGACACCAAAATATAGTTCATGGTTGTCTATCTTCAGGTAGAATACGTTAATCAATCAACACGAGACCACAGAACGCCTCTGCCTCCTCTCAGCACCACGAACCTTCTTTTTCGTTGATCACATTGCATTTTTGCCAACTTGCCAACTGTTTTTCTGGAACACGATGGCGTATTCTTCACCTACGTCCAGGACAAAAGCTGAAGTACGGGAACAGAAAACAGTGCAGCGACAGGAATCTGGATAAAAGAAAAATCCTGGATTAGTCCCTGACGTCACAGGCGGGTGAAAAATGAGCATTTGAAGGAGGGCGTGCTACATTTTCGAGAGATGCTTTTAAATATACAGGGTGTTAATAAAACAGTCTGGCCAAACTTCAAGTAGCGATTCCTTGACTAATTATAGACTTCATATGAATATAGGTCCGTAACTGTTTCTTTTTCAAGGTACATAGTGTCAACCAAAGTCATTTAAGAGAAACAATATCCAGAAAAAATATTCTAATGCGCAATTTGCATTAATTCTCTTTTTAAGTATACACAAAATTTCGAAATAATTCAATCAGAAAGGGCCGCGTTGATCAATATAAGATACGGTTAGCCAATATATAACTGCCTGATTTAAATTGCGCGCTTTCTGAAAGACGCGTTTCAGTAGGTGGCGCTGTAGTAGTTGTTTAAAGCACATAAATATATCCAATTCATCACGGAGCGCTACACGATCCCACAACGCGTCCGTATTGTTGAAACGTTTTACTTAAATAATGAGTCGATTGTTGCAACGATTCGGAAGCTTCGACAAGATTTCGGTTGAATTAGTGTGCCTAGTGTCAACACCATTCGTCAGTTGATGCGGAAATTTCAACAGAAGACTTGCAAGGTTGGGCCGTGTTCGAAATGCTCGTACATCGGAAAATATCGAGAGAGTTCGTGAACGTGTAGTGGATGAGACATCTACCAGACATCGTTCTCAAGAATAACGATTTTTACCGACAACTGTTAATGAGCGATCAAGCCCACTTCGGTATGGACGGATTTGTTATCAAGCAGAATTCTCGTCTGGGCATTAGAGAATTCTCGTATCTGGGCATTAGAGAACCCCCATGTCATCCATGAACGATAACTACATCCTCGTCGAGTCACAGTTTGGTGCGGTGTTTGGTATGGAGGAGCCATTGGACCTTACTTCTTTGAAGACGCTGCAGGTTATTTCCCTTACTGTCACTGGCGAGCGCTACCGTGATTCAAATTCAAATTCAAAATATTTATTTCGCAATGAATAAACATCATAAACAAAAGAAATTCTACATATAGAGCAATGACGAAAAAGGACAGTCTCTCGATTATAAAACCGATACATTGGACCCTTTAATACAAAGAGTCCATGCGAGAAAGCCCTGAACACCCTAAAAGTCCTTAAACAAAATAAAAAAAACAATAAAGATGCAAATGAAGAGGCGGTGAAACACAAAAAGGCAAAAATGAAGAAAGAACTCCCGGGAGCTGGCAACGGACGCGAAGAACAAATCTATACAACCTGTCAGCGAGTAGGAATATAAAAACGATATTTTTGCTCACACGAACCCTGCTAAAGTAGCTGGTGATTCTGTAATAACGTTTTTGTCAGTTTTGAGAATGTTTTTGACGATGAGATTTTAACTGAAGTTCGTAAATTATTCCATAAGTGAACCGCCACATAGGCAAACGATCGTCGGAAGGAACGCGTTCTATGCCTAGGTACGATAAAATTTCTGCTACTCTGGGGACTAGGCAAAGGCACAAATCTTTATCTTAAATAGGACGGTTGACCTGTTTTTATAACTCTCTAGATAAAAGAATACATGTGATATTTTCTGCGATTCGTCATGTTTAATATGTTGTAGTTATTCAGATAAGGAGTGATATGGTTTCGATATGGAATTCCCAACGCAAATCTCATGCAACTATTTTGAACCTTTTGTATGCATTTTTTGGTTCGCGACGTCAGCGAATCACCATAGACGACATCTCCATAGTCAAAAAGTGATAGAATTAAGGTATTTTTAGTCGCATGTAAGCTAAATTTGTTGTTTTTTATATGACTGCCGAAGCCAAGCGAGCTATCAAATATAATGCCTAGATTTTTGTCTCCTGAACTATGGGGATTCTGTCATTGTTAATAGAAATTACTAAATTTTGTTCAAAATGTTCTCTTTCATTGATGTTTTTATTCATAACCATTACTTGAGATTTTGAGGGGTTTAGTTTAAGATTGTGATGCTTGGCAAATCTGTCAATTCTTTGGAGATCTGAATTTAGTTGCTGTTGTGCAACATGTATTGTGGTTTTATTGACAGGGAGATATATATGTGAGTCATCTGCATATTGTTTTATCTTTGCGAATTTTACCGATTTGACCATGTCAGATATGTAGATTGAAAATGGCAAAGGAGATAAAATTGAACCTTGAGGACTCCTCTTTTTATAGGTTTAAAATCGATTTTGTAAATAGCAGAATCATTTGCTAACATAACACAGTTTGAACGGTTGCTTAAGTATGTTTTTATTAGATTTACGGAGTTCTGCGAAAACCCCTGGTAATGTAACGTAGCTAGTAACATTTCATGATTCAGAGTGTCGAACGCTTTACCATAATCGAGAAGAACCATGCACGTACTATTTTTTTTGTTCTTGATGATGTCTGATATCATCCAAGATATTAACTAATGATGTACTTGTGCTGAAGTTTTTCCTAAAACCGGATTGATATGGTGCAAAACTTTCTGGCTCCTCAAATCCAACAATTTAGCCTGCAAAACATGTGGTTCCAGCAGGACGGAGCAACTTGTCACACAGCTAGGGAAACAATGAATATTTGCGAACAATATTTCGGGGACGTTTAATTTCTGGATTTGGTGATGTCAACTGGCCACCAAGGTCACCGGATTTAACGGCTCCTGACTTTTTGTGGGCATTTTTGAAAAATAGGGTTTATGCCAACAAACCAAATACTGTAGAGTAGCTGAAAAACAATATTACGGAAGCGATTGAAAATATTCCTCCCGAAACCTACCAAAAAGTGATGGAAAATGTAATCAAGAGGGCTCAGGTTTGCGCGGCTTCTAGAGGCGGACATTTATCTGATATTATTTGTCATACATAATTTCTAAGTTTCAATAAAAGATTAAAATGAGAAAAATGGACGTATTTTAGTTCATTGCACAAATAGTCAAGATACACAGCAGTCAGTAACATATCGGCCACCCTTGTATTATAACAAACTTGGAATGTTTGAATCAAGATTCTAGTGATATTGAGCATGACAAAACCGTTCAAAAACTTGCAAAAAAATTTGCGAACGGCACGCGCAAGGTGCAGGATCTTACAGGCTTTTCCGCAACAGCACCCATATGAAAATGGCGACAAGAAGGTTGACTCTGGACTTCAAACGCAACGTCGCCAGTAGGCATGGGAAGTAAAAGGAAATAGTATTTGCAAAGTAGGTGTGTTACGGAAAAGCTTTTATGAGTACCTGTGGCATTATTCGTTCGTTATGCTGTTTTAGTATGTTAAGAGTTAATAAATTTGTTTTTCTTCATTACAATTTTTTGCAGTTTCTATGGAGATATGGGTTAACACCTTATTATGTATTTTTTCCAATGAGAACTTCTTTATTCACAACCAACCAAATCCCATTGAAATCGCAACATTGTTGATGGGGAGCGCTAAATTTCAGTTTTGGCCGGGGCTGTGAAATTTCTAGAGCCGACCCTGTCTAGATTCAAGTCAGGTAAATTTTCCTTATGAAAGTTTTTTTGGTGACCTGTAAGAGGTAGCGTAGTCGATCTACCGTCCAGTATATTGGGCGACATCAGTGTCATTGGCTGTTAAGCCAGAAAATTAGCTCTAAACACGTGTTGACACAGGGTTTTTTTTACGGTAAATTGAATATTTACTCGACGCTTATTAAAGAATAAGTATTTTGAAATTTCATGTATGTATGTTTTCAAGGAATTTATGAAGCAAAATTTTGTACACTACAAAAGTCAATAGTCTAGTTTAATATAAACCTATAACGAGGAGAAATAGATGTTTGTAGCTAACCTCAATGGACATGTTGATGGATTGATAAAAATATATCGTTTATTTTAATTATCTCTCGGGTGAGTAGTAACAATAAAATGCTCAGTAATTGTTGTCATAACAATATATTGTATTAGATTTGATCCACGTTTCAAGCAGGCCGCAAAATTCTTCTTTTTGATTGGTAAGATTTGCGTCTCTGTCGCAAATTCTGTGTCCGGGGTCAAATGGAAAAAATGTTTTTTTGCTCAGCTAGGTGGTGCTTTTCAAGAAATCGATCATACTCATTAGATCTATTAATTCAAAAATACCTCGCGATTAATCGAATGTATGACCTAGGCGCAAATTTTGATTCTCGCAGGTCAATAGTAAAATCGGGCCTAAATGGCGCAAAGACAAGAAGGCTCAAGGGCGCTCATGCTTCAACGAAAAGTAAAATGCACTGTCATGCTCTGTAATAAGTCAGCTGTCGCATCTGTTGTAAAATTTGAAGGAGGCAGAAAATTTTTTCTCGCGACAGTGAATGCTCGTTTAAGATAATGACAGAGTAGCTGGTTTCGGTATATTATTTCAACGTGAAAAAAGGATGTTGGAGGATGGTCGGTAATCATAGATATCAAAAAGCACCCTCCAGGGGAGAATATTGAATGCGGGTTTGACGAAAACTTTGGCTTTTGGCGTCACACCAAAGGGCTTGGGACAATAAGATACGTAAGCCACATTGACTCTATCTCGAGAAATCTAGGGTTATAAGTCTTATGTATACAAGGACGTTTGGAGGAACACAGATTTAGCGACAACGGATTTTGGTAAAATACATTTTTGAAAATAATGTGGGCCTGATGCAAAAATTATTATTGCAAAAAAGTTGTCTTCCAAACGCAATTTAAAAATGGTTTGTTTTAAAAACGTATATTTGTACTTTGGCTGTTCATTGGTAGACTTGAACAGCACACTTTATTAAATTTGACGGACTCCATATCTGCGAGAGAGATCTGGTGCCAAACGCGTAAAAGCTCTAATTTTGCATTAGAACCGGGTCAGATGTGTTACCTATTTTGAAACAATTATGAATGTTCCTGAAGATTGAAGGTCACAACGCACACAGATAAACTTATTTGATCAAGAAGGGCAATAAGCCACTCATAAGACATAACTTATTATTCACACGTATTAAAATTATTTGAGGTCTACGATAGTCGTTGTCAATAAGGCAATATTGTGATAAATAGATGGTTTGAAGTAATTATCTAGTAGTATTGTGAAACAAATACAAAAAATGTACTAAGTGACATATAAATCCGAACACCCAGTTTAAATGGTTTTATTTTAATAACATTTTGTATAAGTACTTAATGAAGCATAATAAGTAAATGATAAAAATTTCAAAATGATTGGACTGCTTTAAAGCCCTTTGACCTTTAATAATGTGTGGATGCACCCTGATATGCTACGCATTCTCCAACGCGCCTAGGCATGCTTCTGATCAGGTGGTCAATGTCCTACTGTGGTATCTCATTCCAGGCAACCACCAACTCCTCTCGAAGTGCTTCTAGAGTCTGAGGAGGACGTTGCAAATTGAGCAATCTCCTACCCATCATATCCCACACGTGCGCAATTGGGGATAAGTCGGGAGATCTTGGTGGCCATGATAACAATGTGACATCATTATGTTGAAAGAAGTCTATTGTGACTCTTGCAACATGTGGTTGGGCATTATCTTGTTGGAAAGTTGGATCTGCCAGGGTGTCAAGATAGGGTAACAGATGGGGTTCTAGAACTTCGTAGATATAACGCTGCGCGTTCATGTTACCTCTGATGAAGATTAAAGGTGACCTGGAACCATAAGCTATAGCACCCCAAACCATAACTCCAACAGTGTGATGAACATGTCTTTCAACAAAAAACTGTGGATTCCTCCTTTCACCAAGTCGCCTTCTAACCCTGGCACGACCATCGTGCATGCCTTAACAAAATCGAGACTCGTCACTAAAGACAATACTGTTCCATTCCTGATCCCAGAGTGACCGTTGTCTGCACCACTCAAGGCGATTACGTCGGTGTTCTCGAGTTAAAGGGAGGACCCAGTGTGGCCGGTATGAAAACAAGCCAAAACTTCTCGGTAAACACTTCGCATGCCAATAGGTCTTCCGTGTTCTGCAAACCATTCATTTGCAATGGACCTGGTAGTGGAGAAACGGTCCCTTAAGGCCAATAATCTTAAGCGGCGATCTTCACGGTCTGTTGTTCTACGGCAGCGTCCAGTGCCCCTTGCTCTTTGCGTACGACCTTCTCGAAGCCATGCCTGACAACACCTAACCACAGTGTCTACACTTCTTTGCACTCTAACTGCAATTGCCCGAAAAGAAAGTCCAGCTTCCCCAAGTCCCACTATACGGCCCCTATCAAACTCACTAAGTTGACGAAATCGTACAGGTCTCCGTACTCTAGGCATCGTAACCGCTCGTAAAGGATGTCAAAAACCAAAATCCGCCAACGTTGATTCTTTGCTGCGGCTGAAATATGCATTTTTAGAGCGTTAGTGAATTAAAGCAGTATAAAAACCGGAATGTCCAACTGATAAGGCTGAAAATTTTTTCACTTGTTATTTACAGTAAGATAAATACATTCACCAACTTTTATTAAAATAAAACCATTTAAACTGGGTGCTCGGATTTATATGTCACTTAGTATAGCTTTCCTACGTAACAAAGCATAAGCTACATCTTTAATGGCAGTAAAGCCACAAACTTTGATCTCTGTATTGTATTGTACGTGAAAGGCAATTCTCCACTCACACTGATTTTCACTCTGTTATGAAACTCGGATTTGTCCTAATAGCCATCGCCTTGACAAAACGGGGCATTTTCATGGTGTTAAATTATTTAAAGTGTTGCCGAAACCTGTCAAATCGCCGAGTATGGCTGTTTTCCACAAGAAACTCAAAGACTATCTAACAAATAAAGCATCCTTCTGTATTGATGATAATTCGACAAATAACTTTTGTAATATGTAAATATTCATATTATTTATTATTTATTTTAGCCAGTCCGGCACGGGTATTATGTAAAAAACCTATAAAACGCCAAAAAGAAAATACTAAATGTCATTTTGCAGACTAGCTGATTTTTAAGATGCAATCATTCCACGTTTGCTCACTAGGATCGTTGTGAGCATCTATCTATGGGGGAGTGACTCAATTACATGCATTGTTGATTGTATATGTTTTGTGAAGCCGAGTAGTATGTAGTTTTCATCTCTGAGAAGATGTGAAACGAAGAAAGTTTGTTGAATAGCAAGATTGCATCAAAATTATTATTGAATATGCTGCCAATGAAGTATATCTATTAGCTGTGCCCGACGCGTTATTTATATGTTGTCCTTTCTAAAAACAGGTTATGCTCAAAGTTATAAATTACGATTTTTCATCACAGAAAAATTACGTATTACGCATAAAAAATTTTCGCAATGCCTCACACCTAGGCGCTGATTTGTATTTTCTACTGACATCGCAAAATAAATTTCTATAAAAGTTAATTGACTGGAGATAAAAAATAATGTAATGACCTTTGCACTTTCATACATATTCCTGTCGGTAGCATATTTTCTCGCCTGTTCCTTCACCGACCAGGGATTTTCTTTCTTATCTCTCTCATTTTTGAAATTCAGTAAATTTGCATATGTAATTTCCAGAATGGATAAGAAAAAGTGGACGCGTAACTAATTCCTGGCTTTGAATCTCAAGTAATTGTATTCGAGACAAGAATCCAATGGAATTATCATCAACACATATTATTAGCACACAAATCCTCACTATGCACCTAGGCATTGCCGTTTCCTTCTAGCTGTAGTATACAACTTACAGCTTAGATCTTCAGTAATGTCATCTCTGAAGCAGATTTTACATCACATCAAAGCCAAGATCTTGTAGAACAACCTACATCATGTCTCAAAAAACCAATACAATGTCAAAAAAAATCGACATAATGTTACTTTTCAAGATACGTAATACCCGTGCGGCTCTGCCCCATTTTTCTCTTGTGTGTTTATATTCATCTTTTTTGCCGAATTTGCGGTTGTGTCAATGTTCTTATTTATTTTACTGTGTTTGTATGCCTGTTTTATTGTTAATTAATTTCTAAATGCCTCTCAAGGCAGGCATGTCTTCTCAACAAGTATCCTTTTGACTTGTGTAAACACCAATGCATTATTATTATTATGATTATTATGCTTATTATTACTATTATTTATTATTATTATTATTATTATGTTCATCGCTTTCACCATCAACAAATGTCTGGTTGGCGCCCATCTTGAAATTTGAGTTGCGTATAGATTTCTAGACGCAAACATGTGTGGGATAAGTCTTGGTTGTTCAAATACACTATTTGGAAATTATAGCGACATAGATACTTACGCCGCAGGTTCTTTTAGATGGAAACGTGTTTTCTTATTCAAATGTGCCATAAGTAACTTATTGCTCCAAGCTCTTCAAGCGTTATTAATTAATTAGTTCTTAATCATTCCTTACCTGTACTGGTCTTCAACTTCGTCAAATCCATCTATCTTCACGATATTCCATTCCCCTTTACTCTTCGCGTAGCTGAATGAAATCTGAAAATAAAAATCCAACTTTACGCCTTGTTTTGTATCTCAATAAATATCTCAGCTAAGATTTCTCTTTGGAATTTCAGATAGTTATCTACGAGAAATATGTCCTTTTCGGGAATTTTATTTAAATCAGTGGTCAAATGGGATTTATAAACTGATACAAAAATGTCACCGACCTTTAGGAGGAAGAATATAATTGTAGATGGGTAGTGGATAAAGCTCCGCTTGAAAGGGGTACGACAGTATACCGGATGTTTCAAATTCGACCCTCACCATTGGGATCTCGGTAAGAAATACAAAGTCGGCAAAGTTGCATATTTAGGTGATTAATAAAATGCCGCTTGGAAAGTTTCGTAATTCAGAATACTTCCTGAAAAAACCGGATTTTCCCAAAATCGTTTCAATTTTTTCCTGCCTGTATTAGTAATGGGATGTTAAAATAATTTGCACGTTAACATTACCACTTTTTCTCCTCTATAAGATGGCATAATTCGAATTTCAATATGACGTTTCGTCTCTGGTCCTCCAGTTCCAATTCTGATTCCAAAAACGTATTGTATGTCATACATTGATATTTGCACACCTCAACCATTGCAGAAAAACATAATTTCCTTGAAAGTATCAGTCATTTGTTTCATATACCAGACCAAACCTCAAATTGAACATAGTAACAGAGTTTGGAAGGTTGTGAAGAAGATAAATATATCGAACACTGACCAGTGTACAAAGAAGAATCAGGCTTCGCCTACAAAATAACGACAACATTTTGAACATATGCTATGATCTAACTATGCTTATTTATGATTATTATGGTTACTACCATTAATAAAATTTAAGGCAGTCATCTTCTTCGTATATATATATATACAGGGTGTTTCAGTTTATTGTTGCATAACTTTAAGATTCGATAGAACTTTTAAAATTAATGCATAAGGTCTATATAAACATGGGTCGAAAAATGCGTGGCTTCCGAAATACAGGGTGTTTAAATTTACTTTCTAAAATAGTTTTTTTAAATATTTCGAACAATATTTGATGTATAACAGTGAAAATTGGTATACAAAGGTTTTTTGGTACGACAAAACGAACCATGGGCATAGTTTTACTGTAGCCGCTAAAGGGCGCTCTCTACTGTATCTGTAGTGCATTAAAATGACCGAAAAAATTTTCTTAGTGCAATTTTTTGCTTTTTGAATAAAAAAACTGATTCCTCGCACTTTTCAACATAAAAAAGCTCTCTTGTGAATTTTTGTTATAGTTAGCCGTTTTTGAGATATTTCGATGCATTTTTAATTATTTATGGTAAAATAACGTTAAAAAGTCAGTATCTCGATAATTTTTAGAAGTAGGCTGTGCCTGCAAATATTTTTGAAATTGAAAGCAGAATAAGGTTAAACGTCAATTAGTTGACAGTTAGTTTTGTTGTCTGTTGAAACCGGAAACGTTTTTTTGCAATTGTGAATGCACGATATTTTGTTTCTTTTACCTGTTTATTTTTTGTAAGTTTTATAAAAATGCCATTTTTATTCTCCAATCAAAAGTTAGCGGATATTCATTTTGTGTATGGCTTTGTAAATGGAAACGCAACAGAAGCAGCCAGAGAATACGCACGAAGATTTCCAAACAGACGACATCTAACTCGCTCAGTATTTGTAAGAGTGCATCGCCAAATAATTGAAAATGGTTTTGGAAATCTCCAAAGGAATCAAAACATATATGTTCATCAGCGCAGATTTACCCGTATGATTCTGCGTGAGCTTGATAGAGATCCGACCACAAGTGTTAGGAGAGTTTCTGTTGCCTTGGGAATTTCAGCAAGCCATGTTCACCGTGTTCTTAGAAATGACCATAGACGTCCTTACCATTTGCAACCTGTGCAAGGACTACAGCCAGGGGACGGAGAACGAAGAATCACATTTTGTCAGTGGATTCTTGATATAACTGATAATAATAGGGAGTTTTTAGGTAACGTTTTATGGACCGATGAGTCATGCTTCACTAGACGTGGAGTGGTAAATTTTCATAATCAACATATTTGGTCGCATGAAAATCCGTATGCAGTTCGGGAAAGAAATTTTCAGCATGAATGTAGTGTGAACGTGTGGATTGGTATTTACCGTAATCGACTATTTGGACCCTACCTTTTGCCTGCAAGGTCAAATGCTGCGACCTTCTTGGAATTTTTAAAGGCTGAACAAGCAAATATGTGGGATGATGTTATGTTAGATTTAAAAAGATTGGTCTGGTTCCAGCTTGATGGTTGTCCAGCTCATTATTCGAGAATAGTTAGAAACTGGCTGGACGAAAATTATCCAGAAAGATGGATCGGCCGTGGAGGACCAGTCGCCTGTGTACCAGACTCCCGTATTCACAAGAGATATGCTAATAGACAGAATCATGAATGCATGTGATGAAATAAGGCATTTGAATAATGCTATACCACGTTCGATCATTCGTAGATGTGAATTGTGTATTGAGCAATTGGGTTTACATTTCGAGCAACTACTTTAGATTTTGTATGTTTGTCCTAACTATCCAATAGCATTTTAGTTGTAAATAATTAATTTAATTTGTTAAAAATAATATTGGAAAATTAAACAAATTAATATTCTGTTTTTTTGTGTTTATTTGGAGTTAGGAAGTATTGCTGTATTTAAAAACACAATCTAAACGATCATCTTAATTACTTGTAATGCCCAAATCGAAAATGTAAAAAAATATTATTTTCCCATAAATAATTAAAAATGCATCGAACCTTAAAAATCGAAATATCTCAAAAACGGCTAACTATAACAAAAACTCACAGGAGAGCTTTTTTATGTTGAAAAGTGCGAAGAATCATTTTTTAATCAAAAAGCAGAAATTGCACTAAGAAAAAATTGTCGATCATTTTAATAAACTACAGGTACAGTAGAGAGCGCCCTCTAGCGGCTACAGTAAAAGTATGTCCATGGTTCGTTTTGTCATACCAAAAAACCCTTGTATACCAATTTTCACTGTAATACATCAAATATTGTTCGAAATATTTTAAAAAACCACGTTCGATCATTCGTAGATGTGAATTGTGTATTGAGCAATTGGGTTTACATTTCGAGCAACTACTTTAGATTTTGTATGTTTGTCCTAACTATCCAATAGCATTTTAGTTGTAAATAATTAATTTAATTTGTTAAAAATAATATTGGAAAATTAAACAAATTAATATTCTGTCTTTTTGTGTTTATTTGGAGTTAGGAAGTATTGCTGTATTTAAAAACACAATCTAAACGATCATCTTAATTACTTGTAATGCCCAAATCGAAAATGTAAAAAAATATTATTTTCCCATAAATAATTAAAAATGCATCGAACCTTAAAAATCGAAATATCTCAAAAACGGCTAACTATAACAAAAACTCACAGGAGAGCTTTTTTATGTTGAAAAGTGCGAAGAATCATTTTTTAATCAAAAAGCAGAAATTGCACTAAGAAAAAATTGTCGATCATTTTAATAAACTACAGGTACAGTAGAGAGCGCCCTCTAGCGGCTACAGTAAAAGTATGTCCATGGTTCGTTTTGTCATACCAAAAAACCCTTGTATACCAATTTTCACTGTTATACATCAAATATTGTTCGAAATATTTTAAAAAAAAACTATTTTAGAAAGTAAATTTAAACACCCTGTATTTCGGAAGCCACGCATTTTTCGACCCATGTTTATATAGACTTTATTGCATTAATTTTAAAAGTTCTATCGAATCTTAAAGTTATGCAACAATAAACTGAAACACCCTGTACATATATATAAAGTGTAATTGTCTATCCGGTCTGTCGGTACCATATCGGAGCCACAATACGGAGAGAGATAAAGATTTCTTCACTAACCAATTGACATCTGAGGAAGGTTATAGGCAAAGTTTCGTCCGCGAACTCATCACTTTATTAGTGGAACCACATACACCTTCCGCGGATAATACCGCGGGACATAGAGCTAATAAGCTAAAAATGTCGTATATCTCGAAAGTATATGCCTGCCGGATCCTGAGCCACTGCCAATTACGATATAAAAAGCAGCTCTTAACGCAAAGTGGAATATTTGTAACGCCTCGAACAGGTAATAACTCGTTTCTAGCGCATCGATTATTTATGTAGTCGTCATATCTAAACGGTAACTTTAAATTAATTATTAATTAATAAGAGTAGCGAATATTGGATGAATATTTGATGAAGGATGAGGGTTGGACGTTAGATCGTGCTGCGAATGCGGATTAGCTTGAACTTACGCAACCGCAAACCTCCTTAATAACGAGATGTGGGTACATTGTAAATTCTGACGCTTTGCACGTGCAGGATTAACAACATGAGTTTTATAGTCCACTCAAATTAGCTTTTAGGCTTTAAAACTACGCCATGCATTTTTTATAGAGTAGAAACTTTTCGATTCAGTCCCTACAAGACATGTGGATTTCGCAAACTTTCAGATTTAAGAAAAATATGAGCAGTTGCAGCTCTGAAATGTGTTCAAAATCACTTTACATTTTGGTTTCAGCATTTCAATATCCAGTGATTATTAATCATGATGCTTTCGTCTATTCGACCACAATTGTTTCATGCTTCATACTTCTTGGCAACTCCTCATCACGGTCTAGGCAACACAAAGCGCCATCTGTTACCTGAATCGACCACTATTATCGGTTGGAAAAACGCAAATCAGCTGTCCATGGTTGACTGTCTGTTGTCGGACGGAAGCCGCACGTTTAGTTGCTTAATGGCGAGTAAGCTACAACCTACTATACCGCCAGAATCGTCAGCATCTAGCGGTCACACTGGCGAATGTGGTCTTAAACGCGAACTGAGATCTTTACAGTTCCAATCGATAGCTACTATACACTTTCACAGTGGTTGATCCTAGTAATAGATGGCGATTTATGCTGTCTTGTTTCGTTCAGCGATTATGTAGGGGTAGGTGTGAATATATTAATAATAATATGTTATGCTACCCCTAGCGTGCAGGCTTATCTTTTTATTACAACAATATCATTATACTTTTTAAATGCAGTGAATTCGCACTAGTGAATATAAACTGACCCTTCAAATAATAGCAGACAGTATGTTGCCACCAGTACACAGCCGCATGTAAATCATTTAGTGTAATGAACTCAGAGGTGGAAAATAAAACTCAACGAATTGATATCGAGACACGTCTGCTTTACAATTCGAAGACTCACAAGTCATACATAGGTATGGCCCTTAACCCCAGGCTCAAGTGGAGGCACCACATGAAAAAAAAAAGAAGAGAACTGAACCACCGCTGCAAGCAATGGTAAGCTCCTCAAAGATATCGCTCCATTTAACCAAGTTCTATAAACAGATCTTAAATCCTGTGTAGCTTTGTGGTCGTCAACAATGAGTCTATTACAAGAATTCTAACACTGAAATTATTCAAAGATTCCAAAATAAACTTCTGAGGAACACAGCGGATACGCCTCCCAGCTAGCACAATCATGTTTTGATGACGTCGAAATTTGGTGATGACGTCTACTAAATTTCCAACAGTGTATGTGTCGTGCAGGGCATTGTTACGGCGTGTTTTTGATATTATCTTATCGTATTGAGTGACAACTGACAGTGAACGACAATCGCGAAGCGCTGCTATCGACCAATCGACGTTATTCCTTCGGTACTCCCGCCATTTGTGTATGGTGCCCGCGCCTCATTGCTGCAACTTCCACGTTTGTACCATCTCGCTAATTTTTGGTTGAAACCATAAGTTGATTGTGATTCGTATACTGAGTATACCCTAAACTATAGGAAAATACGCTAATTTGAAAATTGTTTCAGGCTAACTTTTCTTTAATTCTCCAACATGTACGATGTGTATATCCGTAGTCTTACACAGCTCATAAAGTGTATAAAAACACAATTTATACTCCAAACGTCGTGTAATCTGGTACAGCAAGGGATGGGGACCAGTAATAGATTGTCTTTCGTCGCTAGGCGAGCAGCACCGAGCCAGTGTTACAGACTATCGTCTATGGTGCTCTATCACTGTAATGTATATGATTTTTTGAAGATGGTAAAACTGGTTATTCGTCATATATAATCCACTTCATCAACACATCCAGCAAGTGATGTAATATTGATGCCTGCCATATTATGTCATCAGTATTTGACATTAGTAGGTCATCTTCACGTTACTTTAATGTTATTCAACATATTTCTAGTTATTTCATGACCAGCGTCTAACTTCACTTTCACTTGTGCCACCTGGGCTTGCATTTCGTAGTAGGGATATTCATCCCTCTGGTTAACGATGAGATCAACAAAGTAGCAGCCAGGCACGAAGAAAGACTGCATCAAGACCCCTATCCAGAATCACTTCAGCTGCTGAACAACCACAATGCTGACTGGCACTTAGAGAGGCCAAGCCGTTTTAGCTTGTGTAGTATTTTGTGTCTAAAGCAGAGCATATGAGCGAGGTCTTTGTAATTGTATTAATAATTATATGTTGAGATCAACTAAAAGTCATCAATGGATTGCCCATAATAATAAGTATTAGTTTGTAAGAAGATACAGCAAAGTTAATAGTTGATTATTATAAATTAATTAGTTTGAATATCCCAAAGATCAGTATACCGCAAATGATTAAGACTTAATAATTATTATCTCACCTGATCTTCAATCATATCCTTCCTGATGAACTTGAGCAGCTCCAAATGCGAGTGAAATTGGTCGACGACTGTTAACGGTTGCTTTAGCAGGTGTTCTGGAACGATAAATACACCAGATCAGAGTGGGCGAGGAAATGAGCGGCTAAATTGGCTGCAATTGGTGCAACCAGCACTTACACTAATTGACATTTCCTCAGTCATCAAGTGAGAATGATTTTGGGAATATGCTACATAGTAAACAAAACATAAGTTGTATCTAGCATCGATGAATGATGGTGAACATTTTTTAATCAAGGAAGTTTATAATGAAAGACGTCTAATAAAACCGTTAACATAGAATTTTTTTTATGAAAGAGTACGTTTAAAGATGACTTGACGAAATTTTAGAAACATGGGTCTTAAAATGCTCCCATACCAAAGTCGAGTTAAAAATTTAAACATATTTAAGTGTTTCAAATTTGACTCTCTCCATTGTAATCTCGGAAAAGATAACTGTTACGAAGTCGCTTAAGTGGGGCAAAGTTGTGCATTTGGGTTACTAAGAAAATCGCACTTAGAAGGTCAATTTCGGTTATTGCTGCAGAGAAACCGGATATACCGAATATTTTTAAAATCGTTTTTATTTTTTACTGACTTTATCTGAGATGGGACTAAAAAAAACACACTAACATTGCCACTTTTTCTCATCTACAAAATAACATAATTATTAGACTTTCACTATGACATTTCGTCTATTGTCCTCAATCAACTTTATTTTTTTATGGACGCCTTATTGAATACGATGAATGGATTTTTTGATTCTGCTTTCTAAAATATAGAATATGCAATATATTGACATTACCAAAGCTACGTTATTTCTAAAAAACTAATATTTTTATAGTTGGGCTTGAAAATGACAGTTTATAACATGCCTACCTGATTAAACCACCAATGCTCCTGTTTTTTCAGAATAGTGTTTTCAGGACATTTAGATACTTTTGGCCATTTATAGTATAACAAGTGTTATTTCATTACGATAGAGGCACTCTACATTTCACCTCAGCCATAAATTGATATCATTTGAATGCAATATGTGTAATCGGTTTAGAGATACCGGATCTGAAATGTGTTTAGGAAGCTGCAATATCGTCTAGGGTTCTATTCACTCCATTTTTTTTTACTAGTTACATAAAGTAGTAATATCAATCCACGTCACAATTTGTACAATATCACATCATTAAAATGGGAAATAGGGACTGAACACCCATGCCAAGTTCATAAAAACTGAAGGAATGCTTGATGTTATGAAATAAATATGTCTATCTGATAATTTCAAAGAGTACTTTTTTGAACTAATGAAGGATTGAAAAAGTCAGTAGTGACATATACATTTTTGGAGTCAAAATTCAAGACTTTATTCAGCTGAGCAAACATCCATAAGAGAAAATAAATTTGATGGTTGAGGGCAAGAGTCGAAACGTCATATTAAAACTCTACCTCTGCCCATCTTATAGAGGAGAAACAGTGGTTGGTAATGTTGATGTGTTTTTTTTATGTCTCTCAAAAAAGTCAGGAAAAAATAAAAACTAGTTTGAGAAAATTCTGTTTTTCGGACTCTTTCCAGAAATCCCATTTTCGTAGTTACCTCAATGCAGAACTTTGTCTCAATGTCATTTACCATTTCCGAGATCCCAATGGTGATAGTCGAATTTGAAACAACCGGTATTCTCGGGTACCAAAACGGAAGAGAGCCTTTGAGTCGGCGAAGTGGCTGAGCGCGTAACCTGTCCAATTCAAAAGGACCCAGCGTTTTTCCGTGTCTTACGTTTCGGTGCCAGAAGATAGTACCAACATCGTATCCAATAGTGTAAATACAAAACTGTCTGGCTCAAACTATAACTGTCATGCTAGCGAAGAAAGAATAAACAAGTTTTACGCGCGGATTTTCTTAAAAATCATTTTTAATTTCACTCGAATTGTCACTTTTGAGAAAAGGCTCTGTATTTTTCCAAGTAAGGTATTTTTCTAAACGTTATAGATCAGGTCAGTACTAACTTTGAGCAAGATGGCCTTGAGCCTCATTTTGACTGTAACAGTGGTACACGAGAACGTAAAATTTCCCATTATTAGGGTCCATGAGGCGAGTTCCCAATTAAAAGCAAAAGTTCATGTATGATACAAATACTGCGTCGAGGGCATAATGTTGAGAAATATTCTTCCTTTAATCGAACATATAGGTAAACGGTCTGTTTTTATTAATTTATTTATACAATTATTTTTGTTGAATATAATTATTAAGCATAATTATATAATTATGAAATTGAATTATTAAATGCTGACATGAATTAGTTTTGAGCTATTTTTTTTTAATTTCAATACCAATAGGTAATATTAGAATAAAGTTCTTATTTTGCATTACAGTGTTTTTTATTTGAAAAAATAATAAATTATGAAAACTACGGAAAAGGTAGCAAATTTGCTTTGCAGAGTATAAAAGCGGTAAATCACATGTTGTTGCTTCTTGATTTACGACAATTAAAGACGGAAGGTAATTTAGGTGCTTTAGCCCTAGACATCAATTATGACCCGAAATCAAACTTAAGTTCTCCATAAAGGCATGTACCTTTGCAATGTTTATCCACTTTTGTGGCAATGTAGCAATATCATTTAGCTAGTTCGAAAGAGTCATATTTTTGATTTTTTTTACCTCTATAGGTCACCTTGATCTTAGATTTTAGTACAAATTCGGACGTAGAATTTTCCGTTCCGTCGATTGACGGTAACTAGAAGAAGGCTTACAATATTATTGGTACCCTTGAAGATGAGGATTAATGTCAGATCCAAGGTCACCGTTGAGCTCTTTGTTTGAAGGTAGAATAGATCTGAGCTGTTCCTTTTTCAAAATTCATTTATCTGGAAAATCACAGAGCCGTTCCGTTAATTTTTTTAAGGTATATGAAGACTGGGCACTCACCGATTATATATCCCATAGTTACGTCATCTGGCAGTCGGATCCGTTCTCCAGTACTGACAAACCTTCCTTCACTGTAAGAAAAGAGACAAAATATGACTCACAATGAAACAAGAACTTAATGAACATAAGATACACTTATGAACCTAATCTGCCCTCCTGAATGCTGCTATATCGGCGCCCATGGAGACTCGATCTCCCGATCTATTTACAACTGTCGTGTACCCTTCAAATATAAATAAGTATTTTTTATGCAGAAGTGGTATCATGTAAGATGCATTTTTAGCGTATCCTATTGCCCTTTGGCATTAACCAACCGATAAAGGTCACTTTGAAGTATAAAGATACCTTTTGATCATGGTGCGTTAATTGAATTAGTGCGTGGGATTCGCTATATCACATGGGTCGATGAGTTATGCTCAAAATAGCTGCACTGGAGTTATAATAAAAACTAGGGGCCGTATTTTTGAAATCAGTGATAAAAGCCGTATGCGTAAATTTTATCACCGTTGTCATGACGACACTGAAAACTTGTTACACTTACAATAGACACTGCGGCAATTTGAACAAAATTTGTATAAAGCTATGATTTATTCCTAATATGGCTAATGTAATATACCTATGACAAAAATATGAGTCTACTACTACGAGAACAGAACAGGAGCAATTAAAAAGTTTAAAATCCTTTCACCTCATTTATCAGAATATAAAGGTTGGCCCTAAAGATGAAAATAGGGACATCAAGCGATTTAAGCGAGCGCATTAATGCGTGGTCATACAGAAAATGTTGGTCCGAGGGTCAAATCTCAACTTCGACCAAACTTTTTTCTTTTTCATTCATTCAAGAGTACAGCAATGTTAATTTCTTGTATTCTCACCTATTCGAATATCAATTTGTACTAATTTTTGCTAGAACGTAGCATGATTTCTCTTGTGTGATTCAACATTCAATAGTGATGTCTGTAGTTATAGTGGCAGTTTAATCTTCGAATTTGCACTACTATTGCAAAAAAATCTGTAGTTTAGGGTCCTGAATCTACGTTGTCTCCACAATTTAATGTTCAGGTGACATTAACAAAAACCAATAAAAGTAGTTTATTTTCGTAACCAGTGGCGTCCGTCCGGTTGTTTTTGTCTTGTCAAATAACTGCGTATGACATTGCCACCCAGTCGCAGTGGCATTTATGCCTGCCGCAACAGATCCTTCAGGAATAATTTGCTAATATCCTGCTCGTCTTTCATATATTCTTGTGTCAACCTATCGTTGGATGGCTTGAAGATCTTTAATGACCTTATGGACAAAGGTATTGCTTGGTCTTGGACTGCCTATAGGGAGATTGGTGCAGAAATTAAGGGGTTAAAATCAGAAAATAAATACAAATAAACGAATCTTTAGTTTTGGAGCCATCCTATATAAGTTATAAGACCTCCTTAGAACAGGTACAAAGGGGTTTTCTCAATGTGATGGTTCATATCCTATAACGGACATTTCTGATGTTAATCTGTGTTACGAGCTTGGTTCGACACTCCTTGCTTTGAGGCCCGTTCAATCAGTCTTAATAGTCTCGTATCTGCTCGAGAAAAGAACTGATTTGTTTTTTTTTACATAGTATAATGAAGGAATTAAAGTGAATCTGTATGTGGCCTAGCCCAAAATTGCCTTTAAAATTGTTTAGACATTTTTTTTAGCAAGGTTCAAAAGTTAGACAGCTTTCTTGAGTTCATTTCGGTCATTCTGGGTACAAAAGGTTCTTATCAACTTTTCTCTAATGTTGATAGTTTTCGAGATACAAGCGGTTTAACATTTGAAAAAGTGCAAAATATCCATTTAACCACTTTTATAGTAAATATTTGTTTTTTACTTGTGAATCAAGAGCGTGTTCTCGCAGAATATACAATGAGTTGGCAAGTTACAATTTTAAATGGCATTATGATTCACCTAGGTGTTCCTTGTTACTCTTATTTACCTAGGGAGACAAAAGCTACTTGTCAGTGGAGCATTGCGATCAGTAACGATGAACAAAAAGGTAGAATTATTTAAAGTATTGTGAATCTATTAAAATTATATATGGTATATCGTGTCATGTAGATAGATCTCTCACATTATATAAACATGCTCACTGAAGTATGACTTACTGTTAAAAGTAGGTTCGGAATATGTATACTGTTAAACAACGAAAGTATCTACCGTATGACGTTATTCTATGATGTGCACCTAAAAACTATCATGGTACTTTTGAGCATTTTATTTCCACTGCAGCAACTTTATTCGTAACGCGTCACTCCAGATGACACAAATCGAAATTCCCATCTCCGCTGTCGCCGCTTTAGAAAGAAAAAATAAAATTGGAAAAGATAAAATTTCCTGCCATAGCTGCAAGTTCGCTAGTCAAACTTGAAGTGTTTTAATAAACGATTTGACTGTTCCAAAACTTATTTTTATTTCTTTCACTTACTGAAAGAAACGCGAAGTTAAAATGACAGAAATGGATTGTCACCGATGTTATTTAAATCTCCGACCGCCCGACTTCTAGATGAATGTTTTATCGTTTCAGTCACAATAACGCAGTGCTTTTCAAGCCCCATAAAGCAAACTAAACAAAATGTAGCGAAACTTTAAAAGTGTAGTGAATAACGAAAATCTCGCATTTTTGCTTTTCAAAACATTTATTATTGATTAACCTGAAAATCGCTAAACAAATACCATATTCGCACATCTGCAAAACTAAAAAACCGTCGCGTCCTCTATGAGGATTTGCCACACCTATGTTTCTCTTCTCCGCGGTAGCTCTACTTTGAAAAGCTTAGTATATCTAAGATGGCCTGTATACACTGAAAACGTTTTTCCTTATGATCGATTTTTAATAATAACTCAAGCAAAATAATTGATTTTAATAAATCGATTATACATTTGTATAATCGATTTTTAATAAATCGATTATAAGAATTCGTTTTTATGGTATTGTTTTGAAACTAGTATGTAGACGTTTTAGTTATTTTCATACTCACAATACTGTTTGATTTATATTCTGGCGAATTGTTGATATTGGCTTAGAATTTTATTATTGCTACATGTACATGTTTATATAGAAACATGCAGTTTGTCGACTGATAAAAAAAATGATTTTCCATAAATCGATTTTTTCCCTAATTGTCACATCCCTAATTCATAAGGAGTTGTAAAATGGGGTATCTACGCCAAAAAAAACACAGCATTTTTGTATCAATGTCAACGTAAGTGAAGAAGCTATTTAAAAAGCACTGTATGTATAGACAAATTGAAACACCCTGTATATGCTCAACAATGTGGAACGACAAGACACGAACAGTCAGTTCTCACTTAGTTATCTGATCCAATGATAATTAGCATTTAAACAGTCGGTGAAAAAAATAACAGAAGCACGGACAGACAGTCGAGTTTACATTTGTAGAAACGCTAGCGAGAGGAAAGAATACGGAGATGGAGATTAAACCGATTCTAGGAAGCTGGTGCTAAGCGAAGCTGCGAACAGATACAGTTCACGAGCGAGTACTTTAAATGGCTGGAAAGTCATGAGATTCAATCTTAGGAGGTCGCTGTAAAAGGTGTTAATCAATTTGTGAGACCTCACCTGTAGGAATGCGTACTTCTTGGGTTTTATGGTTTTTAGCGAAGATATAGTAATGAAGAAGTTAGTTCACATAAATGAGAAAATGTCTTGTTTAGAAAAATAAGGAGTTAAAAAAAAACAAGATCAGTATGGTTTGTACTAACACAAAAAAGAAAAAAGTGCTGTATACGATTATATTCGGCACCTCTTCGAAAAAAAGTTAATGCCGAGAGCGCTGAAAATATTTGATTATTACATCGAATTATCAGCCAGCCATTATTCATCAACATTTATCATTTGATGTTTTTCACGCAAAATTTGTTAGCTAATGCCGTTAACTAACAATGACTGGGGCATTAAAGATTGAAGATCCAGGATTGCAGCTATACACCCCACATTCGATACATGTACAGAAACGCAACCTCGCCAGTTAATGACACGTTTATCTTGTAGCTACTTTGCGCTCGACGGGGGTATAAAATATTTACATTTTAGGTCTTGAGGGAAACCTAGCGTATAAATACAGTAACGCCAAGATTGAGGCTGCAGTTCCCGCTTCCAATTTTTTACTAGTCAAATACGAGCAGGGTTGTGTGAAATGTAAAAAACACGAAAGCTGAGCGCTTTTTTTTTAGTTTTTTGCTTGTAGCACTAGCACTAGCTTCTTCGTCCTTGGCATAGTAGTAACCTTGTGTCAAAACTTCCTCAAAATTCGATCGGCACCTTCCAAGTTATGGCGGGGACAAGGATTAGCGGACTGATCGACAGACAGTTCGACGGAAATGACTGACTGGGTTTTACTGATGTAGATGTTACATAGCATCCAAAAAACTTAATATCTCATTCAAGGAATTTTTCGCGATTACAATACGCCAGTTGGCGTGGGAGGCAAGAATAAGAAAAAAATGGTTAATAAAAGTTGGTTGGTTAAAGAAACTGCCAAGTTGGCAATCTTTAGTAACCTGCCCTAGGGAAATATGCCTACACAATCAAGAGGACACGTTAAATAATCCTTGTTAAAATAAGTTTTGATATCATCCTCGAATCCATCAATGCCATCGTTTTATTGGGAGGGACTAATGAATTGGTTTTCAATTATGTGAAGATATATCGGAATTTTCCTTCCGTACTATCTTTTGACATTGACCGATCAATTAAAAACTATGGTTTGGTTAAATGATGATTTTATATTTAAACCAATCTGAAATGGAGTGTCTACCGATTCACCGAAATGAAACAAAATTAATCACTCAGATATTAATGGTTTCTCTAATGGACAAAACTAAATGTATGACAAGTATCCTTAATTGATGGACTAATATTAGTCGGTAATGGATTTAGACATAATATGACTTTCTAATTAATGAATTTAGGAGAATTAAATATTCTGTATCATAGATCGTGTAATGTTGTCTAATCCATACAGTAAGTTCTGATGATGGGCAACCATTAGGTAAGATGGTATGCTTAAAAAAATAGTGTCTAGT